ACTTATTATTGTGTATATTATCTGTATAATCATCGTGCCTAGATTCCCTATTCATGAACCAGGACCCCATTGTCCTAGGTGCTCTATAGATTGCCAACAAAAAGTCCCCAAAGACTTACAATCTGCGTATAAGACGAGACCACAGATGGTAGAGACAGATCTGGGAGTACAAGTAAACAACAACGAGGCAATAGTGATCAACACATTTAGGCTGTGGTCTAGAGTTATTGGGCCAGATCCTCAGTGTAAGCGTCATTGAAGTTCTAAGCATCTGCTCCTGCTGCTTTTAATTCCACAATGGAACATAAGCCCAATAGGTCTGTTTTGTGGTTTTGGAGTCAGTCAAAATCTTGTGAGAACAGCTGATCTACTGAGGTTTTTACTGTTTACAACCAAAATCTGCCAGGGCTACCTGGCAGGGTTTCAGCAAAGCTGAACCATACAGCCCGTTTGGCCTTGAACCCAAGCCCTAGCCTAAATCTAATCTGGATCTAGATCCAAACACTGTCTCTTTGGTCCAGCTGTGCTGTTTTCTAATACTTGTTTCATTAGTGATAACAGAGCAGAGTTCCAACAAGCCACGGGGCTTGGAAAATACTAGTCGAGAGTGATTTATAAATGTCATGGAGCTTGTCATGTGGAAGGATGCAGAGCTAAATGAAATTATATTTGGTCAAAGTCACACAGGATAAACAAATCCATTAATGGGCCAGATTCCATGCGTGGATACACTGATGAAAATCCAGAGTGTCACCACTGCTTTCAGTGGTGTACAGTAGAAAGGTAGTATAGCCTAATGGATAGAGCACTACACTAGGATTCTGGAGACCTGGGTTCTTTCTATTCCTGGCTCTTCCACTGGCCTGCTGGGTGATTTGGGGTAAGTCACCTATCTCCCGGTATGCCTCAGTTTCCCCATCTGTAAAATGAGGATAACAATTCTGACCCCCTTTGTAAAGCACTTTGAGTTCTGCAGATGAAAAGTGCTGTGTGATAGCAGGGGATGATCACTCCAGATTTACAGCAACGTAATTCAGAGCAGAGCCGGGGTTGGTGTGCTTAATGATTACTGTTGAGTCAGCTGGTCTCCCAGCTGAGAGTCCTCAGGGCTGCTTCCAGACTCAACCCATGGAGCGTAGACATGTCTATTCCTCGTTTCCTGACATCCGTTTCTGGCTTTTATAGGGACCTGAAATGCAAGATTGAAAAAGAGGGCACCAAGAGGGAGCTCTTGTCCAACCAGTCCCACCTCAACGAGACCCACTGCGTCCACTGCCTGCAGCCCTTCAAGTTCCTGGTGAACAGCAAGCGCCAGTGCTTGGACTGCCACTTCTACACCTGCAAGAACTGCAGCCGCTACCACAAAAAGGAGCAAGCCTGGATCTGCGACCCTTGCCGCTTATCCAGGTAGAAGGACAGGGAGCAGCAGCCCTGCGGACAAAGGGGTTTCACAATGGAATGGGGCTGGAGATGAGAGGCAGAGTGGCCCAGGGGGCGTGTCCTAAGCAAGACAGGAGATCTAGGTTCTATTTCCGACTTTGCCATTAGCCTATTGGCTGGTCTCCATCGCTCTGTGCCTCAGTTTCCCCATCTGTACAATGGGGTTCATAATACTGTGAAGTGTTTTGAAATCTACATATGAATGATGCTCCATAGGAGCTAGGCACTATTATTATGAGTAACCCCAAAGGTTAGGCAAAGTAAAGCCATGGTCAAGGACCACAAAGGATCTCACGTGCAAGTTCCCACTCCAAAGAGTTTTGATGTTGTAGTTGCTGGGCAGTGCCTGTTATTTTCAGGTCACTTTCCTGGGCCCCCGCTACACCTTCTGGGTGTCTAGTAGCAGAGAGCACAGCCTCGCAGTGACCCACTGCCGCTCTCGGCATCTTTCCCCCTGTGGGGGAGGGAACAGGGCTAATGATCCCTCGGGCAGCCCTGGGCCGCGTTCTGACCTAAAGATGGGCTCGGGAACTCTCACTGCCATATTGGCAAAGAAAAGGGGTGAGGAGTCATTCAAGTGCAGCACAGACAGCTCTGTTAGGCCTTAAAGGGTCTGGCCGGAGATGGACGCTGAACAGGACCTCTCTGCCCCAGGAGGAGATGGTGCCACATCCCTGTCTCTTCCCCTCCCCCTTGTCTGGAACAACATGCCCCTCTTCTCCCAGGGTGCAGGGAGGGAATGAACCTTGCACTCCCCAGGTGTAGGGACTCGGATGGTGACGTCCTTGCCTGAGATGCACTATACAAGGACGCTCCTTGTAGTCTCAGCACACAGTCTGAAACCGGAGGCGCTGCTGTCTGGGGGCAGCTGAGTGGAAGGGATTGTCACCCTGGGCGTGGGCTCTCGGAAGCAGTGTCAGCGCTCTGGGCCCGAGCATAGAATGGGCCCCTTCGTGATCTTGTCTTCTGGAACAGGCTGTCAGACCCTTCCGCTGCGCACAGCCAGCGTTTCCATTGATGATGAGTCAGAGAGAGGTTAGACCATTAGCGTTGGGGGAGCAAATAGTGGCCAAAAGCCAAAACAACTCCAGACACCCGCCACATTTGTACTGGAGGCAGGGGGCCTTTTTATTAAGATTGAAACTCCAGGTAACATACCACCCCCCTGAAAGCATGGCACCTTAACCAGTGTGAAAATCCCTTTTGCGGTTACACTTATATGTTGTGGATGCTCCAGAGAGATGGGGACATAAAGAGACATCTGAGGCTCCAGGTCCAAGATTGTTTACTGGCTCTAAGTGGAAAGAAGGATATGTACGTGTGTGGATGGTAGAACAGTAGGGAAATAAACCCAACATCTTGCTTCTCTCTGTGTCTTCCATTGGGGCCCAATCCAACACCCACTAAACTAAAGTCAGCGAGAGTCCTTCCATTGACTTGGGTGGATCGGATCAGACATTGACCAATGACAGCACGACCACTCTGGCTCGTGTCTATAAGTTACCGCCTCTCTCTCTCTTTCTCTTTGGGCAGGATTGTGAAGATTGGCTCCCTGGAGTGGTATTATGAACACGTGAGATCCCGTTTCAAGCGGTTTGGAAGTGCTAAAGTGATGCGGTCTCTCTACGGCAGGCTACAGCACGGGCAGAAAATGACTCCAACGTTGCTAGGTATGGCAAAGGGCTGCGCTCCTTCTGATCTGCCTCGCATGCTTATTTAACTAATGCTTGAGCAACTGTAACAGACACACCTGGGGGTGGCGTTCTGTCCCATCTAGTGGCACCGAGACCGCTTAGAGAGAGAGAAAATAAATCTGCTCTACAGCCTTAGCTAAGAGCCAGGTAGCACTTAGCTCATGCAGTAGAGGCTCATGTATTTAGCTCCAGAGGTCCCAGGTTCAATCCCGCCCTCTGATGACCAGGGTCTGTTGGTGTTACATGACCCTTTGAAGATATACAATGCAGATACATAAGAATGGCCATACTGGTCAGACCAATGGCCTATCTAGCCCAATACCCTTTCTTCCAACACTGGCTGGTGCCAGATGCTTCAGAGGCAATACACAGAACAGGGCAATTATTGAATATCATCTAGTCCTAGTACCTGGCAATCAGAGGCTTACATGCTAGTAATAGTACTTATCATAATATAATACCAATTAACGCTAAGTTATTGGTAAATTTTGCTGTTAATAAATGAGACAAAGATTCAGTTAATTAGGATTCACTTAAGTATCTGCTCTGCCACAGATTTCTTGAGTAACCTCTGGCAAGTCTTTTAATCTTTCTGTGCTTCAGTTCACCAGCTTCAAAATTTGGATTGTCTCAAATGGGGACTCAAACTGACTAGGTAAAATGTATCCCTGGTGTAACTCCATTGATACCAGGGATGAATGTGGACGTGTGTGTGTGTGTATGTATATAGATGCTATGCATCTATATACAAAAAATATACAAATATGGTGCTTTTATATCTGTATTTGCACTGTTGTTTAAAATATCTCAAAGCCTGTAAGTGAGGGCCAGATTCCAGCCTCTTTGCACTGCCAAAGCAGCACGCAGGGACACTAAAACTGCCCTAAAAGGGCAGCTGAGAATTCTCCTAGGTTGGAACAGCTGCGATAGCTGTCTCCTCCATAGGCAGCGAGTTATATGGGACCGTGGTGCCTGTGCTCCACCAATATTCAGGAATGTGGGCCCAGCCTCACCAATGTTTGGGCTTATTTTTTCAAAGCTGTCCTGTCCATGGGACAGACTGGGGCAACCGCTCCAGGCCCCACGCTTTGGGGGGCCCCGCACTTCAGGGGGATGGCCTTGGGGGTTAGCAGGGGTCCAGCATTAGCAGCAGCAAACGACCCAGCCCCAGCCCGCACTGCTCTGCTACGCCCCGCCCCACCTTTTCCTGCCTCTTCTCCTCCCCGCCCCCACTCCACCCCTACCCCCATGTCCCGCCTCTTTCCGGCTTCCTCCCACTCCCCCAAGTGACACCGGGCGCCGGCAGGGAGGAGCGGGGCGGGCTGGGGCCGGGTCACTCGCTGCTGGTGGTGCCAGCCCCACAGGCAGCCCTGGACCCCGCGTCCCTCTGAAGGACTGGACCCCTCAAAGCGCAGGACCTGAGGCGGTTCCCCTGGTCTATCCTATGGACGGGACAGCTCTGCTTGGACCTGTTCTGGGCACCACCAAAAATTATACAAACCTGGTGCCCGTGGTCTCCTCTGAACCCGAGACAGAGATGTGTTGGGGGCAGGGCTGGAGTGCACTGTGATTTGGCGAGCCCGGTCAATGTAGTGACCCCGAGGGGCTTATTTCAAGCCAATGGAAGCTAAAGCAGCCCTTAGGTCATTCAGACTCGCTCTAGTTTGGCCCCCAACCAGTTGCAGGGTTTGAATTCACCTTCCCCCCATCCCAATCTCCTCTGTGCCATGCTCTGCTCCAGAGCAGCAGAGGAGTTAGTCCTGAACCAACGTTTATGTTTCCTAATACAAAGCAAACCAAGGCTTTTAAATAATGGACAACAGCCGAGCGAGGGCACTTTACACGAGTTGAAGAGCTGGCCCTTTATCGCAGCGGTTTCTCCTCCACCCCTGTTTTCTGCACACTGATAAATGTTTGGTTTATGCATCCGAAGAAGTGGGCTGTAGTCCACGAAAGCTTATGCTCTAATAAATTTGTTAGTCTCTAAGGTCTGGTCCCCACTAACCCCCCACTTCGGACTAAGGTACACAAATTCGAAGTACCTTAGTCCGAACTTACCGCGGGTCCAGACGCGGCAGGGAGGCTCCCCCGTCGATGCTGCGCACTCCTCTCGGCGAGCTGGAGTACCGGCGTCGACGGCGAGCACTTCCAGGATCGATCCGGGATCGATTTATCGCGTCTAAACCAGACGCGATAAATCGATCCCAGAACATCGATTGCCTG